GTCATATTTCTAGAGATGTCATCTTGGACATCAATAGGGTCCAAGCCATGGTTTTGTCTCTCCAGATGCACTCAGGTCACTTGGGTTGCTCTTTGCGATGCACTTCTGGTCAATGGTGGTGCAGTGTCACAGTTTCTGTACACAGCTTGTTATGCAGTAGTTACTCTCTATGGTTAGTCACTTTGATTCTACTTTAAAGACAATTTCTATTCATGCTGTTGCTAATGTCCCCCAGACAAAAGCAAGCGCAATGATTCAGTTTACTTCTCTAATTTGTTTTTTTATCAGATCTAATCGCCCATCCATTTTCTTCCCCTTAATCCATGTCTGGGTCGGGGGGGTGGCAGTCAGAGCTGCACCCAGTACACTCAGCACCAGCCCCTCACTGATCCTCCTGCAGGTGGTGAGTCCACAGGAGCTGAGATCTTTCAGTGGGAGCTTCAGGCAAAGTGGGGTTAAGTGTCTTGCCCAAGGACACAACGACAGCAGTCATCAGTGGGAGTCGTGAAGTAGGTCTTGTGGTGGGCTCGAACCCACAACCTTCAGGCTCAAAGACAAAGGCCAATGCTCTACCAACACTGCATGAAAAGTTAGATTTTCGTCACCCTAAACGGCAGGAAATCACGCTCTTTTTCGGGTATCTCAGGCAGTTTTCAAAACGCTCAGTTAGGGTGCCCTGTCCTCCAAACTGCTGCATCCGTATCATGCTAATGTCCCTACTTTGCATATGAATGCAGCGAAACACTGCGGCCGGCCGAGCGCTAATGGCCCTAATTAGCATATGAATGCAGCGGCTGGCCAGGCCAATAGCAACACTATTCAGCATTGGCGGATACCACTACTTTCAAACTCGTGATTGGCTGAAAAATCACTCGTGGCCAGCCCACGTGGGATTACTCCCCATTGGTAGCTTACTCCCCATTGGATGAAATCACTACTTTCAAATAAGTGTAATCTCTCGTGATTGGCTGGCAGATCTAATACATCAAACTTATATAGCGCTTTCTTGGACACTCAAAGACGCTTCACATGGGGAGTAAAATACAATAATAAAAAGGGGTTTACGGAAAAGCTTGTTTGAAAAGATGGGTTTTGAGTACTGATTTAAAGTTTGATAGTGAGTCGGAGTTTCTAATGAGCAGTGGGAGTGAGTTCCAGAGGGTTGGGGCGGCAATGGCAAAAGCTCTGTCCCCCAAGGTTCGGCGGTTAGTGCGGGTGATGGGGGTGAGGAGGTTGGAATTGGCTGAGCAAAGGCGGCGGGTGGGTTGGTGCTGCTGTAGGAGCTCAGTAAGGTAGGGCGGGGCCAGGTTATGGAGGGACTTGTAGGTGAGGAGAAGGAGCTTGTAATGGATGCGGTATTGAACGGGGAGCCAGTGGAGCTGCTGGAGGACAGGGGTGATGTGTTCTCTGGACCGGGTGTGGGTGAGGAGGCGGGCTGCAGAGTTCTGGATGTATTGCAGTTTTTGGAGATGAGTGGTGGGAAGTCCGTAGAGGAGGCTATTGCAGTAGTCGAGTCTGGAGGTGATGAATGCGTGGATGAGGATTTCGGCTGTTGACTGGGTAAGGGAGGGGCGGAGGCGGGCAATGTTGCGGAGGTGGAAGAAGGAGGTTTTGGTGATGTGTTTGATGTGGGTTTGGTATGAAAGGGTGGAGTCCAATATGATGCCAAGGTTGCGTACAGAGGATGAGGGGGTGACAGTGTGACCGTCAATGAGGAGGGTGAAGTTCTGGACAGAGGGCAGGAGAGTTTTGGGGCTGATGATGAGGAGTTCTGTTTTGTTACTGTTGAGTTTGAGAAGGTTATTGTCCATCCAGGTTTTAATGTCGGAGATGCAATTTTCGATGGTGGAGCGAATAACCGGGGTGATGGATTTGGTGGAGATGTAGAGTTGCGTGTCATCGGCATAACAGTGGAAATGGAGTCCATGATGGCGGATGATCTGACCGAGGGGAAGCATGTAGATGGTGAAGAGGAGAGGGCCGAGCACGGAACCTTGGGGGACACCGTGGGTGACGGGGGAAGTGTGGGACTTGCAGTTGTTGACAGACACGAAGTGGAGACGATTGGAGAGGTAAGAGGTGAACCAGAGGAGTGCTGTGCCAGAAATTCCAATGGATTGTAGACGGTGGAGGAGGATGGAATGATCTATTGTGTCAAATGCAGCGGAGAGATCGAGGAGAAGGAGGATGGATAAGGAACCAGAGTCGGCAGCGAGGAGGAGGTCGTTAGTAACTTTGAGAAGTGCTGTTTCTGTGCTGTGGTGTGTACGGAATCCAGATTGAAATGTTTCGAAGAGATGGGAGGAGTGGAGATGTTGGTGGATTTGGTTGATGACGGCGCGTTCCAGGATTTTTGACAGTAACGGGAGGTTGGAGATGGGTCGAAAGTTGTCCAAGTTGTCAGGGTTGAGGCCGGGTTTTTTCAGGAGGGGTGTGATGGAGGCTAGTTTGAGCGGGGAAGGGACAGAACCAGAGGTTAGGGAAGTGTTGATGATGCAGGTGATGAGAGGGATGAGAGTTAGTTGACAGGTTTTGAGGAGGGAAGATGGGATTGGATCAAGCTGGCAGTTGGAAAATTTCATGGTTGAGAGAAGTTTGGTGGTGTCAGAGGGAGAGAGGGGGGAGAAGGAAGGAAGGCTATGGACTGTGGGTGCAGTGGGTTCAAGTTCGGAGTAGGGAGAAGAGGAGGAAGTGGAGGCAAATGAACAGTGTATGGTATGGATTTTGGTATGGTAGAATGACAAGTAGTTATTGCATTTGTCTGTAGTGAATGTGGAGGTTATATTGTCCTTGGGTTTTGTCAGATTTGCAAAAGTTGAGAATAGGGTGCGGGGGTTGGAAGAATTTGAGTGGATGAGTTGTGAATAGTAGTTGGACCGGGCAGTTTTGAGAGCAGAGTTGTATGTGGTTGTGGCTTGTTTGTAGGCTTGTGCAAAAAAAAAGATCTGTCACTATTGGTCACCCTGCCTCATGATTAATGTAATAATATTTATATAAATATTCATATTATTTATAGAAGAAATGAAAATTTTCCAGGAATATGTTCATACAAAGAAAGCTTTATTAAAACACACACATAGCCCTATGCCCACACATAGGTAATTAAAAAATTACAACTCTGAACTGTCCAATAGCCTCCTCGGGGTTGTAATTTGGCAGCGTTCTAGATAGACGCTTAATGTGCGTGGCTCTGTACGTCCGTGCCGCCTCTAACCAGGACTGCAGCTTGACAGAGTTCAGAAAACTCCGGCTTTCGAAAAGACGGCGACTGCACAATCCATCCAGAGACACTCTGTGGACTTCCACAGTTCCACTTTGTCACTTTCTAGCACACTCAGTCTCGATTCCAGCGGCTGAAAGAATCAGTAAATATTATTAGCCACATCAAATCCTTTTTCCCATCTAAACATCGCCAGGATAAAAACATAGTGTCTAAAGCAGATCTGGAGATTCTCCAGTAGGTTAGACTACTGTAACAACAGCTGCAGTACATTCAAAATGCAGCAGCTCAAGTCCTGACCAGAACCAGGAAGTACGATGGCAAGGCAAGTTTATTTGTCTAGCACAATTCATACACAAGGCAACTCTAAGTGCTGAGCAAAATAAGAAAGCATTAAAATAAATAATCACAGTACATTAAGAAAGATAAATATAAAATACCTCAGTTGTAGCACAGCTAAAGTGACAGCTCCTCTCTGACAATGTTTAAAACCAGGTTAAAAACAGTTTGGTTTAGCTGTGCTACAACTGAGGGATTTTATATTTATCTTTGTTGATGTACTGTGATTATTTATATGAATGCTTTCTTTTGTTCAGCACTTTGAGTTTCCTTGTGTATGAATTGTGCTACACAAATAAACCTCCCTCACCTTACTGTGTGATGCAGTTTAGTCTTACCCTCTTTCTTCTCGCTCGAATCCGAGCTGAACTCTTCGCCACATCCGCCCTCAATGAGTTTTCTGGCTTGGCATATTGATGGCTCCTGCGAACCGTCTCATAATAAGTCTTACAGGCCGCTAGAAAACAATCAAAAGAGTGATATTAATAAAAATCAAACGCAAGTCACAGTAACGTCAAACAAGGAAGGAGAAACAGTAAAACACTTACACACAATGTCGTCTTTATCAACATCGTGGAAATGTGGACTTGAAGATATTGTGTTAAGCAAATAGGAGGTCACCGTCTCATTACGAGGCGAGATTAGTCTGAAAACAAAGTGTACAGTTATGATTGGTATCTATACATATCCATTTCCGTGGATACATTAACAATACTTACATAACCTTTTTGAGAAAATGGATCCTTCAATGAAGAAAGTGTGATAATTCTAAGAGCATAGCTTTCTTATTGTTTTCGGGAAGGCATTTGTCTAAGGAGAGAAAAACACTCATGGTCAAGGGACTTCATGGTTACATAAAAAGGCTAATTTAATAGTATCTACAAGTACATATTTTCATGGGGACCTAACCAAGAGATAATCTACAGGAGAACATCTACCTCGGTCATTTATAAAAGAGATATACACTATTTATCTTACAATAGGGAATCAATAACAGTGCTGAAAGAAACTGAATTGTTACGTGATTATTGTGAAAGTGTCATGTCTGGTTAAGTTGTGTTCTGTGATGTAAAGCTGTTTTGTTTTGAAATTTGTTTCTTGTTAGACTTCCTTCCTGCTCTTCCCTGTTTCCCCGCCTATGTGATTACCTGCCTCGCCCCTGATGTGTGACACCTGTGTCCTTGCCCTCCCCTCTGTGTATATAAGCCTGTATCTTCCCCATTGTCTCTGTCAGATTGTCCTTGTCCATGTGCAGGTAATCATATCAGTTTGTTCTTGTATGTTTTTCAGTTTTGACTGACTTTCTTTTTGTACTTTGTCCATGTGCAGACTCTGTGGGAATTTTATGTTAACGATCCTGATTTCTGACCGCAAAAATAAAAGAAACTGAGCAACGCAGTTGGGTCTCCTGTGCTGAGTCTGATAGCACAATCTGACCAACATGAACCCAGCGGGCTCAGACTCCACTCCTGTTACCCAGGATCCAGTTCGATCTGCCATCCAAGCCCAAGGTCACAGAATCCACAAACAGGAGGAACTACTTGGACAACTACGTGGCGACTTAGAGGATGGCGGACCAACAGGAGTCCATGATAGCTGCCTTCACAAGCCAACTTAACATGTTGGCAGAACGGTTGAGTCCCAGCCAAGCCAACCCAGACTCAGCCTCAGTAAGCGCAGCTTCATCTGCTCCACCAGTACCACCTGTGAGTAACGCCCATCCTCCTACCATGCCTGTAGCTCAGATACAGTTGTCTCACCCAGAGAGATTCTCCGGGGACTCTGGGGACTGTCGCGTCTTCATTACTCAGTGTGAACTCCATTTTGAGATGCAGCCAGCAGTTTTTCAAACCGATAGAGCTAGGATAGCCTACATTATCTCCCATTTGACTGGCAGAGCTGAGGCTTGGGCCACTGCTGAGTGGAGTCGACGTTCTCCAGCATGTGATTCACTTCAGCGGTTTATTAGAACCAGTGTTGTGCGTGAACGAGTTCAAAAGAACGCGTTCATTGAACACGCTCATTTTTTCGTGAACGTTGAACTGAACGCAACACATTTTTAAAAAAAGAACTTGAACGTGAATTAGTTCATTTTGTGTCATGAACGGCAAACGTCACTATGAACGTTGGAATCTGTTTTCTCTTTTGAAATGCAACGAAAGTTCCTCCCTCCTGTATTCTCGCACTTTTTCTGCCGAAATCAAAAATTTCCTACGGTTTCCACCGTCTTTGAACGCACCCCGACTCCGTGTTGCGGTGCGGCGCACTGAGCTGGTGATTTTCACATGTGCCCGAGTCGTGATGAAAACACAGGGTGAGTTAGCGACAAAGTTTACATTTGACATAAAGTATAGACACACGCACTGCAGCGCATTACTGTCTGTAGTTTATGAGTAGAGATGGAGCAACTCCGTTTGGCTCCCATTGAAAACTATGTAAATCTTGTCTGTTTTGTAGTCAAAAGACTCTCCTCCTGTGGGTGTAATATATATATATATATATATATATATATATAATTATAGCTCGTAGTGTGAAAAAAATTAAGTATCTCACGAAAAAAGTAAAATGAACTAGTTCAGAATTAAAAATGTGAACTGTTCACTTTGAGCATTTATGAACTGAACTTGAACTAGTTCAGAAAAACTGTGAACTGGCACAACACTGATTAGAACCTTGACACAGATTTTTCACCATGTTACTCCGGGTAGAGAGGCTGCTCGTTCTCTTGTTCAGCTGCGACAGAGAGGTCAGAGAGTAACTGATTATGCTATACAATTCCGGACTCTAGCTGCCGAGAGTGGATGGAATCCAACTGCACTGTTCGATGCATTTCTGAATGGACTTAATGACCTTGTGAAACATCAGCTGGCCCCCTTGACCTACCTGAGACTCTGGATGAGCTCATAGCACTGGCTATCAAGATTGACAGGCGGCTAATAGAGCGGGAGCACGAGAAGTGTCGTAGGATTCCTCAACAGTATAGGGGGCCGTGTTTCTTACCAGCCCAGGGAGCAGCTAACTCTGAAGCCCCTGCCCCGTATCCTAGAGAGGACGAGCCGATGCAGCTAGGACGCACTCGTTTGACACCCGAAGAACGAGAGGAGCGTATGAGGGAGGGGCGCTGCTACTACTGTGGGGGGTTTGGTCATTTCTCAGCCACATGCTCGGCAAAAGCTCGGGCTCGCCAGTGAAGAGGGGGTCACTGGAGAGCCATATCAGTCCTGTGAACCCCTCTCGTCCCACACCTCTCGTTACACTCACCTCTCCTTCTAGTTCCTGTAGTATGCCCGTATTGATTGATTCTGGATCTGATGCTAACCTGATGGACCATGCTCTGGCTAGAGAACTTAATTTGGCGGCCATTCCCTTGGAACATTCTCTTGCCGCCAGTGCCCTAGATGGTCGTCTCTTAAGTAAAGTGACCCACTATACAGAGCCGGTAAGGATTACATTTCCCGATCAGCACACTGAAAGTTTAGGGTTTTTTCTGTTCAAATCTGGTCAGCACAGACTGGTTTTGGGATACCCATGGCTTGAGTTGCACAATCCGGTCATCAACTGGTCACAAGGGAGGGTCTCTTCCTGGGGCGTGGGGTGCTCCAAGAAGTGTTTTGACTTACCTGAGGCCGTTCTCTCTGCGTCCAAGACTGGTCCGGAATCTGATTTTCCTGATATCTCCCGTGTTCCACCTTGTTATATGGATCTGAAGGAGGTTTTTAACAAGGCTAGGGCCACCTCCTTGCCCCCGCACCGGCCCTATGATTGCGCCATTGACATTTTGCCCGGTTCCACTCTGCCTAAGGGTCGGCTGTACTCTTTATCGGGACCTGAGACCCGGACCATGGAGGATTATATCGAGAAGTCACTCGCTGCTGGTATAATCCGTCAGTCTTCCTCTCCAGCTGGGGCGGGTTTCTTTTTTGTTGGAAAGAAGGACAAGACGCCGAGGCCCTGTATCGATTACCGTGGACTTAATACGATCACCGTAAAGAACAGGTACCCTCTTCCGTTAATTTCTACTTTCACAAAGCTCGATCTTCGTAATGCATACCATCTCGTCAGAATAAGGGAAGGGGATGAGTGGAAAACAGCCCCACAGGACATCATGAGTATCTAGTGATGCCTTTTGGGTTAACTAATGTGCCAGCTGTTTTTCAATCACTGGTGAACGATGTCCTTCGCGATATGTTGAATATTTTTGTTTTTGTGTATCTGGATGATATTCTCATCTTTTCCCCTGATGAGAACACCCATGTCCAGCACGTCAGGAGAGTGTTGCGGAGACTTCTGGAGAACCAGCATTCAGTTTGTGAAGTCCCCAAGTTTTGGTTGTGTAAAGAGAGTGATGATAACACCAACAACCGTTTGTGTGTGTGTATGTATTGTCAGGGATGAAGCAGACAGAGACGGATCGTGGTGCGCCAAACTCTGGAAGTTTGTTTAAGTTTCTCTCAAGTTCCAGTGGTTTCCTTTGTTTCTTTCTCTCAGACAGAATAAAGTCAGTACACAGTTTATATAGTCATTGTCACGTCACACATGGAAAGACGTACGTGTCACACAGAGACGGTCACATCATAGTCAAAATAATCAGAGTCCTTGTACAGTCCTGCACGTAGGCCATATTGCTATCTAATACTAACACTCACCCCTTTGATCACATAATCACATGTGGTCACTCAAATCGATCAATCAATAAAGTGAAAAAAGAAAAAAAAAAAATCATTTTTTTTTTTTTTTTAATTAAAACTCATAATCATCAAAATCAATATCAGTGGATTTTATCCTCTATCCTGGGAAAAAAACAAAACAAAAATAAAGTAAATAAATAAACAAAAAACAACAAACAAAAATAAAAACAAACACTATTGGACACACAAGAACTCAGCAGATTCAGAACACAGACAAAAACGAGCTGAGTCTCAATTTAGAAGCTAATTTCACTTTTCTTACTCTATACTTTTATTCTAATGCTAATTGTTTACACTACACTTCACTCACTGTAATATTTTCCCTTTTCAATCTTAGACTGTGTACTTTACTTTCATTATCAGTGGCATATTGTTAGTGGGATTTTGCTCCATGTCTATTCTACATTCTCAGGAATAAAACTGTGAACACAGAAAGACAAATGGTTAATATGAACATTATTGTGGCGGTCAGTTTTCCAAATACATTTGTTGAACCAGGAAGTGCTGTCACTTCCTCCTCTCAGGCAGTTTGGGATGAATGTACATCTTTAATCAAATTGGTATTATCCTTACAAGAGCTAATATGCAGCCAGCGAAAGTTCAATTTGGTAGACGTCAGCCAAAGGTAACCCCTCCAGGCCGGTTCTCATCCCCAGCCTATCGCACGGCAAACGCCCCCTTCCAATCACCGGTCCAGCCAGGCAAGCTGCTTAAAAGCGGAGGAACTCCCATTCTCGGCCTTCTCGAAGCCTGCACTTCTCGAAGCCTGCACTTCTCGAAGCCTGCACTTCTCGAAGCCTCGCAAGCCCTCGAAGCCTTGCAGAGAATCGTCTGGAGGAATCGTTTTCGTCTACTCACGCTACTCGGCGCGACCCTGGCGTCCTCCGTCTGGCTGCTTGTGGTCTGGTCCCTGCACTGGTCTGCTCCTCTCTGCGTCCCTGCACCTGCTGTGGTTCGCATATCTCCTGCTCTCCTCCTCTGCGGGTTTTTTCTGCGGGCTGCTCCGCGGGGCCCTCCGCGGGTTTTGTGCGGCTCGTTCCTCGTGGTCTGCTGCCGCACGCAGAAGGTCTGGCGGTGCCGTGCGTGTCCCTGCCTCGATTGGCGGTGCCGCGTTGTCCCGTTGCTTTTCCCAAGTCTCCTGGCATGTGAGTACAGTGAGTGTGTTGACCGCGGACAGATTAATCCCGGAGTTTTGGGCTGCAGGCGATTGGTTTTTGCCCCGCGCACTTGACTGCAGGCGCCAGTTTTTCGCCCCGTGCTTGGTCTGCAGGCTCCGTTTCACATGTGTTTGAGCTAACCGAGGGGCAATGCATATTAAATGGCATCAATCTCTATCGTCTGAGGGATATAAGAGGAGCAAAGTGCATTAATTCAGATTCATGTTCTGCCACTTGCAGTAAAACCATGCATTTAAATAGCTAGCTCGCTGGTATTAAATTAGGTAACTAACTTCAGTTGTTGCATTTGAAAGTGCAGCAGAATGAAAAAGGGCCCAAGGTGAATCTGCAATGGGTGTGAAGTGGTGTTGGAGCTATGAACGCATGGATCAGTGATCGTTCATGCGTATCTGCCATAACCAAAGCAGCCGCTGCCGCTCCGCAGGCTCCCAGGCTGCACCTGTCTCTACGGCTCGGCTCCTTCAGACGCGTACGTAACCTGGCTCACGGAGTCAAGCGGCGCACGCTGGCGTGACACGTCTGTTTGTTCGTATGAATCGCATCGTGGTGCTGCTGCTCCCGCTAATGCTGCTTCTGTACTGCTACCGCTACTGCTGCTACTGCTGCCGCTGCTGCTTCATACTGCTACTGCTGCCGTGCTGCTGCTGCTTCATGTACTTTGTCATCTCTCCTCACTTCGCTTCTCTTTCTGAAACACTAAACAGCTTCAACATATCCTACCGCTGTGGCTTCGATACAGGTTTTTCGCCGTTGTTATCTACGGATGCTGCTGCTGCCGCGGCTTGATACAGGATTGTTGCGTTATTATCCGAGGTTACTGCTGCTGCCGCTGCTGCTACTGCTACTGCTGCAACCCACTCTCTCAGAAGCTTATCCTGCTTCTAATGGATGCAGCCCGGCCGAGCATGCCGCGCTGCGCTGGACTCGCACCTATGCTCCCAGGGTCGCTTTGGCGGTCATGCTTCATCTCTCTACTTAATCTTCTGATTCTATCAGATGCAGCTGGCCGAGTGGCTGCGCTGAGCCGTCAATCGGACTCCTAATCAAAGGCATCCACACCTGTATTCTTCACTCTTCTGATCGCAGGCTCCCCATCATGCTGCCCATCCTGCAGCGGCTCTGAGCGGCACTGAACTCCGGCTCTTCTTCCAAGTACACGTCTGCCCTCCTCGCAGCATCTTCCTGCTCACCTTCTATGGCTTCTCTGCATAAGCGTTTCACTACTGCTCACTCACCCTTCAGGCGGTCCGAGACACGGCTTTTCCCGACCATCCTACTATCCTGATTATCTACTCTCCAACCCAAGATTCTAAGCGTAAGGGCGCCTGCAACTTCAATGGCCCTCTCCGATATGTCTCTGCCCCTACAGGTCTCCGCTTCTACACGGACGTGGCCCTTCCGTGGGTTTTGGGGTTTTTTTCCAGGACCATTGGGTTGCCGGGCCGTGGCCGCTACTTTCCACCGGAGCATCTCCTCTGCCCTACACGAAATATTCCCAGTGGTCGTGGCCTGCGCGCGGCGGAATCACACCTGGCAGAGAAAGAGGATCTCCGTCATGCGTGATAATCTCGACTTCCAGGAGTTCCGACGCCTCTGCCCTTCTGCCAACCCATCACCATGCCAGATCCCCTGCATGGAATCCCTCGCCCTGGACTAGTCCCTCCGTCTCTTCACCTCCTCATCTCCTCCGCTGCATCCTACATGAAGATGGGTCTCTCACCTTCCACACTGAAATCATACAGCTTCGTGTGGAAAGTCTACTCCAGCTTCTGTCACGCCCACTGCATTCCACTCATTCCGCCCTCTGCTGTCACGATCCATGATGCATTACACTCGCCTCCGCTCTCGGAAAGGAGATCTCAACGGACCGTCATTTCTTACCCCTGATAACCTCCCTATGTCCCCCAACTGGTTCAGAGCCCAACTCAAGTACGTACTGCTGCTTTGTAATCTGTCTCCCCATCTCTACACAGCCCACTCCTCTCGGATAGGCGCCGCCACGCGCGCCGCGTCACTGGGGCTCCCCCATTCCGCCCTTCAGCAGCTGGGCCGCTGGTCATCATCGGCCCTCTCCTCATACATCAGGCCTGACACCTCGACCATCCTGGCAGCCCAGCGGCTTTTTGCATCTCCATAAAACACTCGCTAAACTCCTGGTGGCGGCTGCAGCTGAGTATCCGCAAGTTTGGTCACAGCAAATAGCGGTCACAGTATATAGCGATAGCGGTCACAGTATATAGCGATAGCGGTCACAGTATATAGCGATAGCGGTCACGGTATATAGCGATAGCGGTCACAGTATATAGCAAAAAATGGTTAGCGGTC